CCACTTCATTGTGAAGTGGGCGGAGTCATATATGTGTCGGTAGCAAACCTTTCAGTTAAATGTGTGTGTCAAGTAGCAAAAGTGAAAAAAATTTGAAGAAGCAGAATTCATAAAACATTTGGAAAACCACGGCCGCGCTAAGAAGTGGGCGGGGCTTGCAGCAGTACCTAGTAAGTAAGTACGAATATCACCTTCGGTCCGCCCAAAACCGCATAGCGCTCGCGCCAGAACACTCTGATTCATCAGACTCGCTAGAAACCTGTCCCCACGGTTAGTTCTGATCACGAATATCACATTTGCATAAGGTTCAGAAGAGTTAAGCACGGAGAAAAGGGCGGGAGTACACGTGATAGCGCCGTCCGTGCCTGTTCGCCTGCACGCTTCCCTCGAAATAGTGACTCTTCCTCTGCCAAGGCTGAGCCTAAGCAAGGAGAAAGATTACTGTTACGAACAACTTAAAATGGTCCCCGTTGCCTCGTAGGATCTTTCCAACAGCCCTAGCGCAGTCGTTCGGCACGGAATCGCCTGAATTCTGCTCCTCACGCGCAGGAAACACCTTAGGCACGTGGTGTTGTTGCCTACAATGCGGGCGCCAGGCGGTATCGAGTCAAGCGGATATGACATTCGTGTTCAAGAAGTTCAACTACCCCTGGAGACCATTTCCGCCAAACCTGCTGCCGGAGAGAAGTCAGTAAAAAACTGGCCTGATTTCGGAAGAACGTGCAGTGAACCCTATATAGTACTTGTGCTTTCTAGGATGCCTGGGAACCGAAGGGAATGAACCAGCATTTCGTCGCTGAAGCGCTAAGCAGCACATCATTTCGCATGATCATACACGATCACTTTATCGCAAACCCAGTGAATGAATGATTCTTCTGATAACAATAATGATTACGAGCCGTATAAAAGGGCTCAACCATGGTATGCATCATTTCGTCTTCTCTACTGAAGAATGTTTGTTCTGGTAGTGCTGTCCACTGTAGTCTTCTTTGCTCAGGGCGACCTTGCCCTACAATGGAGGAGGTGAGCAGCAATGCAGTGGTCGGGAAAGGCAAGAAATGGGAGAACCGATGGACAAAGGTTAGTTTTCGTGATGCCAAGTCACATGTGTGACTGCAGTTTTCATATTGCAGGTATTGTTGCGGAGCAGTTCGCCAAGGCTTACATCGGCATGACTTTAGCTGAGATAAGGAATAATGCTCAAGTTCAACCGGTACGAAACCCACCCAGCAGCAGGTTGAGAGCAGCGAAGCTTTGCTTCGCCTCAATACTTGCCGAACTCTTATCTTACCTCCCATGTCTTAGCTGTTATGTGTCAATGCTTCTTGTGATAACAGTTTTCCAGTGTTTTAATCCCAGCATTTGTGCTCAGCAATGGTCGCGCCTCGGCATCAAGCATTTGAGAGAGGAATATCTCCGTTATCGCGCAAACAGTCTCGATGAAAGGGCTCTTTTTTTACAAGAGGTCCTCAAGTTGCTCTTATCTTTTGGGTTTTTCCCGAGAACCCTTCGATGTCATCTCGCCAATCTGGATTCTGCTTTTAAAGATGTTCAATGAACTAATGTACTTCAACCCCCGCTATTCGCATGGATATTTGGACGCAGGAAGATTATATGGGAAGTGAGTCACCTCTTTCTTGTTGTTATTGCACATGGCATTCGACCATATCGTGAAAACCTTCCCGTGATTTCAGTTTGGAAAAACAATGGCAACAAGTCCCCTTCAAAGACAGGGAGGATTACCGTCGAAAGTTTTGTGCTTTCAGAATCCTCGATGAGAATGTACCACTCACTACGGTATTTACCTAAATGAACATGTGCATTAAATAAATTTATTTTCTATGATCTGTTTGCGAAATGAGCCACGGATTCGACACTGGCGCTTGACAGCAACTCACGCCGCACCGGTACTTGGGTGTGAACAATGGAAACGTACGAAGTTTTGATCAGAAAAAGGAAACCTGCTCAGTTTGAGTGGAAATTGATCCAAGTTCTTGATTCCATTACTCCGACGATTGTCACAATGAGCCTCACCGCTCGAAGCTGAGAGGCTCCGTTTGGGACAGAAAGTGGCTCACCAGCTGCTCAACCGAGCCGAGTCGGAAAGACTCCCATCATGACACGTTCAAAAAGGTGTCACTCGCTGCTCGTGATACCCGAAATATTGTAGTGTATAGTCTAATGCACATGCGAGGAAATAGGACTAACAGCCCCTAGGAGCAGGAGAGCGGAGTGCTCCACACTGGATATTCCTCTATAGGCGCGTAAGAAATCTCAGTGTGTCTCGCGACTGAGGAACAGGATGAACTCGGCGCTGTTCCAAATGTACCTGTGCTTTCGTATCCTTCCCTATTCTTGGGATACCACCAATCTCTCCCCCTTTCCCCTTAATAATGAG